CTGATAACGCCGTCCCGACAGACAGCAGAAGCGTCGCACTAACTGTCTGGTTCCCCCTTCAGGTAAACTCTGTTAGCTCTGTCAGCATGTTTGCTGTTGTTCGTACTGTTAGCGCCGTAGCACCGTTAGCTACGAGCCGCCGGCTCAGCCGTCGCCATGTTGAGAGCCGTTCAGAGGCAATCCAAATGCCCCCAATCTCAGAATATAACAAGGAACACAAAAACAATAAGTCAAATAAAGTGCTTAATATCTTATAACACAAACAATGGTTGGGTCCTACGCGGTTTAGTCATTTTATACACGTTTAGAAAGCTGTACGGGGAGGAAGTATGACTTCAATAGAAGGAGGAAAGACATCCAAATCCTCAAGTAACCATTTCTGGCATGAAGTCTTCCTCTCCCTCCTCCTTCACTCTCTCCCACTCTGTCTCTGCTCCCTCTCCCTCCCTCTCCCTCCTCCTCCCTCCCTCTCTCCTGCTCCGTCTGAGAGTTGCAGAACTTCTTAAGTGTCTTTCATCAGCAGCACCGGGCTCCGTGCTCATCGATATCCATATAAGAGCAGAGCAGGCAGATTTCTGTGCCGAGTGTCAGGCAGAGTTGATGCAAGGCAGCAGAGAGGAACGCGGATCTGGATCTAAAGAGTAAATGTTTAAGGGAGGAGGAAGGATGAAGGTTCCTCCTCTGCTGCCTCGGGCTCTCACTTGACCCATGTTATTGTGTGTGTGAGAGAGACTTTCGATCATATACTTCCTCTGCATGCCTGTGCATGTGTTTATAATAGTGCATGGGTGTATGAATCAGTGTACATCAGTGCGTTTGAACAAGCCAACCTAAACCGGTAAGGAGACAGTCTCTCCTAATAAAGGCAGATTGGCTCGGTGTCTGCTGCACAGAAGTTGATGAATTAATGATCACGTTCTCAATAAAACAATAACCACATTGCTATTCTAAACACCAGGTGTGTGGTAACAGTTGCCTTGGAAAAGTCCTCCAGGATGTACAGAAAGACATGCGTTTTATCTATTGTTAAAAACACTTCAACAAGTGAGTAGTTCGTATGAGCAGCTGTAATCCAGAATGGCTGAACAGGCAAAGAAAGAAAATGTCTGATATACCTGATTTCAAATACAGACACGCTCTTTTAAGAGCACACATTTAAATAGAGCTGGGTAATATATTGATATCATATCAGTATCGTGATATGAGACTAGATATCGTCTTAGATTTTGGATATCGTAATATAGCATGTCTTCCTGGTTTCAAAGGCTGCATCACAGTAATTTCGTGTAATCTGAACTTCAGCTGTCCTATTATTTGTCTGTGCCCAGTCAATATATCTGCATTAATTATTCATCAAAAAATCTGATTGTGTGAATATTTTGTGAAAGCATCAGTGGTCAACCCGACAATATCGTGGCAACATCGTTATCGAGGCATTTGGTGGGAAATATCGTAATATTAGTTTTTCTCCATATCGCACAGCAGTACATTCAACACAGGGAATAAAAGAGTAGCAATCCTCCTCTGAGGTTGACTTATAAGGTAGATGAGTACTGTGGGAAAAAAAGGTTGAAAGGAAAATGGATTCTGACGTCCAACTTTACAATCATACTTGCCAGGTGTTGTGGGGCTGAAGTAAAGGCCCAATACAACCTGTCTTTGCAATGTCTTAACTGTTTCTTTACTTGGTACAACAAAGCTTCTTCAGTAGGGTCAGACACTTAGGTCTCAAACAACGGTTACTACAACTGACATAATAATTTCCATTATCTGAATATTGTACATCACATTTATACTACATGAGTTGTCTCAACGTGTGTGCAATAGCTGCAGGGTCAACGTGAATCCATCCTTTAGGAATACTTTTTGTGATTTAGAAGTTTTGTCCTGTTGAAAGAGACGTCTGTGCTCAACTCCAGTCGGTCATAATGTCGATCCCATAAAGCACGTAAAGCTCAATAGAGCTCAGACTGCTTAAAGGCCGACTGAAACAAAGGGTCATGTGGTATCCATAAGGAAAAGTCCACAATGTATGACCAGTGTGCTGCTGAGCTTCAGAGCTTAACGTTTGATTAGCAGAGAGATGCTTTGATGTTGAGTCACACACCTCGTGGTGTTTACTTGATGTCCCGGGTGTTGAGTTTTATTGACTGGTTTGTACCTTCAGTGTTGCAAGATGAAACCGGTGAGCCAAGTTTCACATTTTTATTTGTCTGTGACCCCACGGACCAAGACTTATTGGTGCAGGTTTCTCTGTAGCTGATGAACGCACAATCATCATTTGACAGAGGGATAAACCCGACAGTTGATGTGTTGAGTGATAATTGTGCAAATGGTAATTTACAGGCTGCAGGCCTTTAAGTCATATGATTTATTTATGTGTTGACAAAAAAATGTAGTATTTTTGAATTAAAAAATAGTGATCCTATATTCTCACAATGTGTTTTTTTATTAACATTGTTGTTTTCTCTCTTTCCCATGAGGATGGAAAGCCTGAGTCAGGGCGAGGATCATCAGTAGTCTTTACATTCAGACATTTACAGTTATTAAATGTACATAACAATGGAAAGAAAGTACAAAACAACAGAGAAAGTTGCAGATTATGCAAATGAGATACAAGGCTTTTAAAGGTGCACTGTGTAGGATTTGGCGCCCTCCAGCGGCGAGGTTGCAGATTGCAACTGAACCGTCTCCCCTGTGCCAAGCCTGCAGGAGAACTACAGTGGCTGACGCGGAAATAAAACCCGAATGGCCCTATCGATAGCCAGTGATTGGTTTGTCCGTTCTGGGCTACTGTGGAAACATGGAGGACCCGCTCTGTATTTAGAGACAAGTGGCTTATTCAAAGTTAACAGAAACACAATGATTCTTATTTTCCGGTGTTTATACAAAAAAAAATACCATTTCTGCCAATAGATCCCCCTAAATTGTACACGCTGTTCCTTTAAATGGCTTTTTAAAACACCCAACTCCAAAATGAATGAGCTAATTTGTCAACAAATGCCTGTTGACTTAAATAGTGATGAAAGTCTGTGTCCTGGTCATGAGGTCTGACACAAGTTCCCATGTTGTCATCGACCCACCCACCCGTAGTCCACCTCTGTTTGGTTACTTGGCGTTGGCGTTGAAAATGTTATGTCTTATGCCAGTGTGGTTTACTTCTAAAAAAAGCTTCATGAAAGACGCGTGACCTGTTTTGAAATTGTAAAAATAGAAATAGAATAGAAACCGTTTTTATTGTCATATACATACACGAAATTTGACCTCTGCATTTGACCCAAAAATTTGACCCAAAAATGCATGCAAGCGGCGAGACAGAGAGCGAGTGACGGAGCATTTATCATGTTTGTTGTTGCACTGGCATGGAAGGAGGGTTAAAGAGCAACATTGACTTGGAGAGCAAAAAAGAGAGGAGAGAAAAGGAGAATGAGGAATGAGAGGGAGTTGGGCGAGGGTGGCGCTGCAAGATTGGGTAAGATGGAAGGCAAGGATGACAAATCTGAGGAATGAAAGGGAGAAGGAGGAAGAAAACAAGGCAGAGTGGCGAGCAGGCGGGGAGACGGTCCTCCTGGTAAACACCGACCGGCCGACAGGGTGACCTCTCCCCGAGGCAGCCACTCACAACACATGTTGCCTTATTAGGGGCGTCAACGGGGAGCGGAGGCAGACTAGGGAAGGTGGGGGGTGGGGGGGGTAAGGTTGTGTGTGAAAGGGTGAGAAAAAGCAGCAGACAGACGAGGAGTTAGACCAGAAATAGTGTGTGACAACAGTAAAAGAGCTGCGGATGTTTTGCCTATTCTGTGTGTGATGCAGACTTATGCTTTGTTCCTTTTGTTAACAAATGCTGCAGCGACGATAAAGACCACGTATTGTATCATACTCAGGCTTTGCAGGTCCAGGGCGTCACATCACAATTTAATTAGCAGAACCAAAGCTTTTCATCCGTCAGACAGGTTTCTTTTATTAGAGTTTTGATTAGCCATCAAGGTATAGCTTTGATCCTGAGTTAATTGGTTCCGACTTTGTGTTACATTTCTTTTTTGCTTCTTTTTGTTTCTGGGTTTTAACGGTTGCAGATACAACTAAATATGATTTTAAGCCCAAAGGCGTATTTGTTGTACTGGGACAAAACAGTAAAGTACAGTAAATGGTAAACGACCTCATGGCATTACTAGATATTAGTGAGTTTTTATTTATTCTCAATCCCTGTTGTTTTAGTTCAGAGGGGATGTGAGCGCATTGATTTGGATTTGGCAGTCCCTGTGATATACTTTTACTCTTGTAAACTGTTGGACGTTCGTCATTGGTAACAAACTAAAAAGACGAAATGTCAGGAAGACACTTTTCCGAGCTTTTGGAGAACCGTCATAAGGACTCTGTCTCTGATGTGATGTCTGGTCATGTGACTGTTGGACACTCATTGTAAGACGGTAAATATGAGACTCATGACGACGAAGGACAGAAACTGAAATAAAGTACACCCCCAATCAATAAGTTGTAGTCATTTTTATAAGATTTCTTAACAACAAAAATCCTCGCTGGCGGTGTTGCGTTGAATGAGAAAGGATTACAATGTGGCAGGAAATGATGAACAGCTTAATAAAGTGTTTCTTACTGGCTGAACTGGCACCAAGACAAGGCTGTCAGTAAAACACATATAGAGTCGTACTCCCAGTGGCACACTGAATTTTATTCTCCAACTGCATTTAAAAACAGTTTTAACCAGCAGACGACTAAACGATAGTCATATTAATGCAATTTCCGGCTTTAGTTTTTGGATGTGTGATGTGTGCGTGCGTTGAGGATACCATCTGACTCCCAAGTAGCCCTGGGCCCAACACCACCCCCTGCGGCCCTGCTGGCACCCTCCTCCAATCCTGTTCCAGAGTTTTTATCATCAAGGCTAATTTCTGCCTGTAATCTGATTAAGGCTGTGAGCTGCTTTAGCACCCTGCTGCGCTGTCTCTCTCTCTCAGCTCCCTCACGTGTATACATACACACACACACACACACGCACACTGACACACACACTGACACACACACACCGACACATACAAATCACGTATGACAGGCAGTCTGTTCTTGCTGTGTAGCCGGGGCAGTCGCTCTGCTGTGGCCGTGTGCTTGTCCGTGGCTGTATCTGTATGTGTGTGTGTGTTTGTGTGTGTGTGTGTGCGGTCATTTTGTGTCACCACCTCCATCCCTGCCTGTCCGCTTGCTGGTTGCAGCCCTCGCCTCCACCGCTGCCACTCGTGCTGTCCACCCACCGCTGTGACCGGAGGGGGAGTCTCGCGGCATCCTTCTTCTCTCCTCCCCAAACATGTTTCGAAACCCATGGATCTCTAGTTACCATGTGAACCATGAGCAGCCGTGTGGCCAAGGTAAGGCCTTTGAAAAGGGGAGGCTTGGTCCGGCTATAGGAGGACTTGCTAAACCCACTTGAATACCCTTAAATCCATAGACTACTTGGGGGGGCTTTGCTAATGCAATTGAGCTCCTTACTGAGATAGATGACAGAGCCGGTGGCTGTCAGTGGTAAGGGGGTAGGCAGGGGGATTCGGCTCGGCACGGTTCCTGGTGGACTCCTTGTTTTGCTTCTGTTGGCTTGGTTGGATTCGATGAACAAGGATTCATGACGCGTGTAAGATACTTTTAAGGATTTTGGGATAATCTATTGCTTTGGGTATGAATGTTAGCATCAGGCTGCTTTGAACGAATGAATGGGAAGTGTGGTTGAGGAGTGAAAGATATTGATGACTACATTTAGTGTATTCAACAGGTGTGTGCTATGATGTGCTTTCTCTTGTTTCCTCCTCTCTGATGTTCTACCTTGTAAATGAGCTCCATCGTTACCTCCGAACAGATTGTGTGCAAGGGAAAGGCCCAAGTCACACAGGAAGTCTATTTCGCTCCTCTGAATATTTATAGAAAATCCTTCTCCTCACCGCGCTCACTTTTGGACCGTCAGCAGCCTAAGCTGCTCTCTGGCACTGTCAACCTTGAGCCTTGTGCGGCTTGTTTTGTTGACAACCTGCAGGCGTTTCCAGGGAAAAGCCGGACTGGCTTCTGTACAAGGGGCTTTCCAGACAGATAAACAGGCAGATGCAGTTACACAAGGTTCCCAAAGGCTTTAAAAATATCACAAAATAATGTTACAAGACCTCCAACCCCGACGTCCTCGCTTGTGTCTAATTCTGACTTCTGTCGTCACTTCCACCAAAACATGTCCATTTTGAGTCCATGAAGTTGCCCCCGGGTCACTACACAAAACACTGAGAAGCCCTTGAACTTGATGTCTAAGTGATCATTAGGATTGTACCAGCACACTTACATGCTTTCTGTCCTGATAAACGTTCCCTGCTGTATTGCCGCACAGTCTTTTGAGGACAAAGTAGGCCGGAGGTGTTCTGGAGGCGTCTGGAGCAGTAAGGTGATCCGGCTCCTATACTGGGATACAACTTTACAACAGGCTGCTGTTGCTGTAGCACGAGAGGGAGACGGTCACCTATCAGTTGGGAACTGGGTGTGAACTTTCTGAGCAGCCTTTTATTGACAAGTGACTCAAAATTTCAAAGAAAACTAATTTCCTGTTTTGCTGGAGTCCGCTGCGTCAGGACCCTTGCAGAGCTAACAAAGAGGTCTCAATGAAATATACTGGGGAATTTTTAAAGCCAGTCTGAGCACTTCCCTTCTACAGTACCCATCTGAATGCTTAAGACAGCATACAAATGTAATAATAATAATAATGATAATAACTATAATAATAAACTTCATTTGTATAGCACCCTTCACACAAGAAATGCAGCACAAACGGCTTTACATTAAAGGAAGATAGACATAAAAGGTATTGGTGGTAATTTGAGACTTATTAAACGTAAACACAGAAAGATTGATTTCTTGTGCACAATTAACAGCCTATTTGGTACCGAGGCGTCTGAGGCCTGAAGCAAACACTGACCCTTCAAATTTCCTGCTAGACACAAATTCACTACGGGTGTCGATGAAACTGAAATTATCATCCATTGTGTCATATGGACAAGTAGTGCATGAAGTTAGCATTTTATTATTTTACTTCCAAATGCCAGAAATGTGCAGTTAATTTTGACCAGGAAAACATGTTCTGATTCTCCCAGTGTCAGCACAGAGATACAGAATATTGAAAGGTGGAGTGTAGACCCTTTTTGTTGTCGTATACGTTTGACGGAGTCTTGTTTCTCCTTTTAGAGTTTGGACCTAAAGCTCGGCCCAAGCTTTGCAGCTCAGCCTCATTGCCAACAGAGGCCTTAAGGTGAGTTTTTTGTTCGCAATCACCAAAGTTACCTCCAGAAAGACAAGATAAGACATGCCTTCATTGATCCAAAGAGGGGAAACTCAGGTGTTACAGCAGCACAAAGAGAGTTAAGTTAAAATAAATGCAAATATTTTGCATTTACGTTTGTCTAATTTCTGCTTTGTCATCACGATGGGGATATGTAAGGATATAGGCTTTACTGCAGTAGAGCGCTTTAGCTTATCATGCTCAGTAAGCATTAAAAGCAGGGGGTGCCTGGAACAGCTTATCCTAAAGACACTTTTTTGTTCACATGGCATTAAGGCCATAATACCTCCTTCAGGAGCACTTTGCACCCAAGCTCCTCTTGCATTAGTTCACAGTGTTTCCTCCGGTTCTTCAGACGCCCGGCAGTAAGATACACAAGAACATTTTTATTTATTTGAACATAAACCCTGAGTGTCACAAGCAGTTTCAACTTATTTGGTCCTTTTAAAAAATACATCTGTGTATTTATCAGACAATTTACACTAACTGAAGATGACAAGCCTGTTTAAAAAATACAGAAAAGAAAGGTGAGTTTATTTCTCCTGGTTCGTGTGACCTGTTGATTGTGATAGGTAATGACGTTAGGAGAAGACCTCGATTGTCTGTTTCTAATTGGAGGAGAGACGGGACTTGCTGACCTCGTTCTTAAGCTGGATCCTGTTGGAAGTAACACCAGCTGAGTTTCCCCTTTACCTGCCATCACCTCTTTAACACATGGCAGAGTTGTGTGGACGGCTGAAATAGACAACTAGGCACAATTTACTGTTGCCCTTTAATCTGAACAAGTAGGAGAAAAATTATAGTTTAGCTACTTTCAGCATCACCTCTTTTATCACTGAGTAATTTCAAGTAAAGCAGCCGCTCATCCTCCTATAATTACCGTTTATTTTTGAGAAGGATGTATTAAATAAAATATATATTTTCTTTTATTAGGAATTCAGAATGTAATAAGTTTCATCTTGATCGCAGGTTTGTGACTCTGTCTTCTCGTTCAGTTTTCAGAGTGACTTCTCCCTGGGTGACAAGACCACCTTGGTCAAGAGTGTTTCAGATACAGATGCCAAAGTCCTGGCTGTCCTTCCCAAGGGTGGGCATTGGTTCTAAGCACACACAATAACTCAGAAGAGATCATGTAGTTTTATTTTTATGTTACAAAATATAATTTTTTTGTTCCAATATTTAGTTTCAGAGTTGAAGAAACACTTTGAGGGAGCCGTCACAAAGGATTTGGGAATGAACAGGTATCTTCAGGGTTCCCCTTTTTGTCACAATAACTTGTCTGAATATTTTCATAAAAACTAACTCAACTGAGCAACCGCTGACCTTTAACCTCGGCCTCCTGCCTGTCGACAGGAAGGAGAGGATAGCCCGGCGCCTGGAGGGGATGGAAAGTGATGTTCCCCCTGCACTGGTGCCTGGTGGTTTGGTAGCCAACAGGATGCTGGAGGAGGATCCTCCGCGGTACACCCGCGCCTCAGATCCCTGTGAACCTTGTGTGATGGGTAAGCATGGCTCGATGCACTTCCAAAAACAAATGATGCTGCCATATTTTTGCATTTTGGAAGATGTGAATTTGCTAATTGATATGAACATCTGTGATGTGACTTGTTAGAATAATGCCACATATGTGTAATGTGGGATGGAAGGTACATGGACGCCAGAATGCATCTGAACAAGGTTGCTGGAATGTAATCGTTTACTCTATTTACCGCAGTGAGGCGCTACAGTCGAGAGGAGTTGGAGGCACCCCAGAAGCTGTCATCTCTGGACAGATCCCCTCAGGTCAAAGGTGGTGTTGGCAGTGGCCGTCAGGAGCCATTGTTGGTGTATGTTGACCCAGTAACACTATCCACACCCACTTCTGGCCCCACAAACCCCACCAGCCTCAGTTCCAAGGCCGAACGCATCGCCCGCTACAAAGCCGAGCGCCGCCGCCAGCTGTCAGAGCGTTATGGCATCCTCCTGGATCAGGAGGCGGACATCGATTACACACCACGCTACCGCTCTCGGCGTGACACAGACGCCTCTGACCGACAAATGGTTCCCAGGCGAGAGGGAGACAGACAGGAAGCTGAGGAACAAGGACGGGAGCCCAGGGTACCATATCGTGCTGGAGTGGGCAGGGTTTACATGAGGACACACCCAGACCCTGCCCCTGTTTCCACCTCCAGCGCCGCCCACTCAAACCAAGCCCCTCCCCCCACACAAGATAGGCCCAGAAGATTTTCGGAGCGGGAGAGAGCGATGAACATGGAGAACCACCGGCGCGGTGCGGCTCAGGAGCGCCCAGTCGCTTCTAGATCCAGAACCCAGGAGCAGCATCCACCTCAGTCCCAACAGCAGCAGCACCACCACCAGGACGCCGCCCACCAGGAGCCAAGCCCCGCCTCCACCAGGGATTACAGCATCGCAGCGGTGCCCAGCTCCCCTCGCAGCGCCCGCCGGGCCTCCCTGCCCTCCCCTCGCTACGGCATCTCACCTGGGGATTTGTTCATAGAGCAGCAGGCCCAGAGCATCCTCAACAGACAAGGGTGAGTTTATAAAAAACGGGTTAGAACATTCAGAAAATACATAAACTAAGACCGACCATAATCTCAAAGACAAGTGTCTGATATATTGGACAACTCTTACTCGAGATTTGATCGTATAAATAGTTTAGTTTGCATACCTGCCGGTGCAGCCGTCGCCATGTTGCGAGCCGTTGAGAGTCAATAGAAATGCTCCCAATTTTGTATTTAGCTCCTTTAAAGTCAAACATGACACAAGTATTAGGAACGCGCACTTTTTATGTCTGCGTCACCCCTTTATAATTGTTTTTTGTTTTTATTTTACTCTGTGCAGAAACTCTTTAGCTCTTTTTAAATACTAAAACGGCCAAATCATGATCGCAAGCCATTAAATCCCTCTCTGGGTGGTTCTATCTACTGTGTAATGGAGTGTTCCTACCATTGGAAGTCTGATGTTGTGTCTACAGTGTGTTTTAAGACTTCATGTAGAGAGTTCAAACCACATGAACCTGTTTTCCTGACAGTAGTTACACTCATCCACTGGCTGCTAATCACTTCCAAAAAGAGCATGCTATACAATTTTATTTTTATTGGAATTTTATTTGATCATTGCGAAGTTTGAGAGAAAATTGTTTATTGCTACACTTAATATTCGACCATAATTTGGTTTGTGCAGTAAAAAAAAAAAAAGAATCAACAAAGAGAAACTGAGATATCCACGAGTTGGTGCAGTTTGGGCTGGCTGCTGAGCTAACTAGCCTGCTGCGTTTACCACTGCGCCAGGTTTAGGATCTTTCTAGACTGTGGGTCCAGCTCTGTCACGTGCTGCTCCAGTTTCACATGGAAAGGTGCTCTGGGGAGCTCATCAGGGAAAGGTTGCAGGGCAGCAGGGTAGACTGCAGGCTGGGTTTTTAGAGGGGATATGATTTCCCTGCTTGCCCCGAGAGGTAACCCCGATTTACCAGCAGCTTGGTTCATTAGCAAGGAGCTGATGTCACTTTCTATTAAAAACTTTAATATGATACCACAAAAGGGATGAGAATTACTATATTCGTCAAGTGAAGTCATTTAGAAAAAAATTGACATGATGACAAGTGACATAATAACCTATGAATAATAAAATATGAATAATTTGAATTCATTTGACGGTAAAGAAGTAACGATTAAAAATAGTCACACTGTAATTGATGACAAACCTTTGATCAATATGTACAAAGTGCAGTTCAGCTGATCAGTGCTGCTCACTTTGCTCTGATCAGAATCTTCCCTCAGGGTTTAACACTGTCACCACGTCACCTTTTAGCCTGGCCGCCATGTCACAGAGCAACTGGTTTCTCAACACAGACTCAGAGAGTGACACTCCACCTCCAAGGTACTGTCTGCTCAGGATGCCGTCAGTAAAAAAGACCTTACTAAGCCCTGTCGTCCACCGGGTACATGTGTTTAAGCTGGCTGTTGGCAGTTGATTCATTCTATAGTGGCAGGACATTTTCTTTTCCTCGCACTGTAATTTCTTTCACACGTTATTTGTCGGTCTTTAAAAAATATGAAAGAGGTTATAAATGTCTTCAAACCATTGTTACAGGTCATATAAAGTGTTAGTTATTCTGAATTCTGGAGAAACTATTTCATAATACCTCTAGAAACACCTTAATAAGAGTAAAGTAACAAGATAATAAGCCAGCTTTTTAAAAACACGTTCTGGGTGGACATGCAGGTAACTCGTTCCAGTAATATATATTCTAACAGTGCAGTATTTCAGTATTTCACTCAGTAATACTTCCCTTATTAACTGGTGTTTCAAGTGTTTCAAGTTTGTGAATCAAAGTTTTCAACTGAAAAACTTTCATCCCTAACTTAGTCCTAACATTCATTCATCAAAAGACTCACTGAATACATACATCTCATTTTCATCTGTTTTTGGAGCATTTGCCAACATGACTTTCGTTTATGCGATGATGTTATCACATTTCTTCAAATCACTGTCAAAATAGCAAACTAGGGCCCAGCCTGAAAGTAGGTAGAAAAGTACCTGCCTTAAGAGCATTTCAATAATATTCGAAGAATCGTGAATTCATCCCTACATCCCATTGAGAATCAAACTAAACATGTGTTGGTTAAAGTCATGTTTCACTAACTATTAGGCCTTACCAACTGTCCTTTTTGTTCTCTTAAAACAAGGTAAAACAGTCTACAAACATACCCAGAACTCTGTAAAACTGGCCATTTGTTCATCAACACAATACCATAATTCTTGTTAAATTGGTTGCGACTGTGTGTGGCCCGGGTTTCATGAGCAGTTGAGTGGAGTTAGTGAACCAGAGTTGACGGGGTGACAACATTAGTCAGCTCGATGCCCTGACAAAGTCAGTCGTAGACCTGCTGACTCAGCACTTGTCAGCTGACGCCGCACTCACATCCCCCTTTCTCAGATTTTGGCCTGTTGACCCCTATGAAATTACATCTGAGTACCCTGTCAGTGACTTTGACAATGCATAAGATAAGACATGCATTTTGCCTTGTATGTATGTTTTTTTAATCACCTGATATATGTTTGTGCTGAAAGGATTCTTGAGAGACACACATTACCAGAAATCTTTGATTTTCTTTTATTTAGTTTGCCATTGAAGTCCTCGAGTATACATGTATTTTTGGATTGGACTGTGGCCCAGAAACGTGACATAGCTGACCTGCTGATAGCCTGTGAAAGGATGAAAACACATGGCCAGCCTTTGAGCTGTATGGGCAGGTGAAATTCATGGAGGCAATGTCTAGCATGGTGAGACAAACCTTTATAGAGTGTAGGTAAAGCTTAATTGATTCCATTGGTACACATAAACACCTCTTTGCTCCATTTGCAAAGATGACATAGTATAGGAAGGAAAACTACACAGTCTATTTGTTGGTAATGTTTGACGTGTCTCAAAAGAGGACATTCTGATCATTTTCTAACTAGTATGTCCTATGTATGCCACTGGCACCGACATGTCTTTGTGGCCTTATCAGCGGCCTATGCTAGCTAGCATTAGTGTGTACTCATGCACTGTGTAAGTCCTTCATGCCATGTCAGATAAAGCAGAGGCCCATCAATTATGTCTGGCTTAGTGGTCTACAATGAGATTAGAGCAACCTTTGGCTACCAGGGGTCAGAAGGTTGTAGATGAAAATAGTTTGGTTTACTTTTTGGGCACGGAGACATCAGAGAGAGAGTTGTTTGAACTAAGACTCAAATTTAAACCCAGGGCATGGTACTACTTGACCTTGTGGCGATTTCTACTGTAGGATTTGGGAACTCAAATTGGTCACATGATAGTCTTGTGTCATAAACTTGTATGCAATAGGTTTTGCAATTTCTTGTGGAAATTGAATTTAGTGCGTGCAAAATTAAAATCAATCAAATTTTTGGGGACTTTATCTAAGTTTGTATGCCCTACCGGCTGCCTCGGCAAGTAGCAGATTGTTGTTTGGAGACCACTCAGCGAGCAAAATATGTAGTTGGATAGTAAACTTTTGGCTCATATAAATTTATTTTATGATTTACCATCATGTGTGTCCCTTCAGAATAAAAGCTTGGTATATACTCTTTAGTCATCTCTTGTTTGATTTGAGTTTTGAGTTCGGAGAATGCCGAAGGTCTTTAACTGAACTGAAATCTCAGTGTCCCTTATCCGTTTATTTCCCCAAGAATCCGGGTAAGAGAACGATTGTCCAGGGATGAAATTGTCCAGAGGCCCCCCGACTGGAGTCCAGACAGGAACCAGGGTAACAGACACCGTACCCAGGGGAACTCTGCTCAGTACACCCCACAACGCTCAGAACCCAGCCAGCAAAGGACTGTTCCCCAGCCCAGCACAGGCCACCATACTGCCCACGGCCAAACAGCCTACGTCCCTGAGTACCAACACTCTGGCCCTGCTGTTGACTCTCAGCCCTATTTGGCCCTCCCTGCCCCAGTGGCCGCTGCCAAACTTCCTGGACCTCCTGAGGTGCCACCACGAAGGAGAGTGTGTGCTGACCAAATCCATGCCGCCCACAGGGAGGCAAGATCGGAGGCCAGGCAGGCCCTGAAGGAAGAGGCCCATACAGAGGGCCTGCTAAAGAGCAGGAAAGCCGTTTTGCCCTCAGAGATCCGCCGAAGGGAAAAGAGTGTGGATGATCCTCACAGAGGCCGGCATGAAGACATGGACTGGCAGAACTACAGCCCAGAACAAAGGAGGATGAGTCGAGGCGAGGAAGACTGGGATCGGGAGAGACCGAGGGAGAGGGGGAGGGAGAGAAATGTCGAGAGGATCAGAGAAAGAGGGAGAGAGCATCTTTCTAGCCATGACAGCCAAGAGGAGACAGTGTTTCGATCTATGCAGCCCTCCCACACCTCTGTACTCCAGCAGCCCAGGCAGCATCACTCCTCAGAGCCTGTGTACCATCAAGAGCCCCAAATTCAGCAGCAAGAGCCCCCACCGCAACAACAGTATGAACCCAGAACGAGACAACATGGTGTTCAAATTCAACAGCAAGAACTTCCAATGCAGATTCAGTACGACCACTCGAGACAGCTGCAAGAGCCTCAAAAACAACAGCACCCTCAAAGACAGCAGGAGTGTGAGCTCCAAAGACAAGAGCCCCCAAAACAACAGCACCCTCAAAGACAGCAGGAGTGTGAGCTCCAAAGACAAGAGCCTCCAAAACAACAGCACCCTCAAAGACAGCAGGAGTGTGAGCTCCAAAGACAAGAGCCTCCAAAWCARCAGCAAGACTCCCGGAGAAATCAACAAGAGCCCCGACTAGACTTTGACCCTCAGAGGCAGCAGCAGCGGCCGGACCCATCAGGGAACCAGATGTTTGAGTCAGTCATCTATCTCCAGAAGGCCTCCTCTTTGCCGCAGGCCAAACAAAGAAGCATGGAGATGAGCGGAGGGCCCAAACCCAAGATAAGAACCCGCGCCATGTCAGATATAGGCATAAGCCAGCATTCTACCACGTATCGTATGGAGAGGGCAGCGGCCAGCAGAGAGACGTTGAGGGCCGTCCCTCCACCAGGGATGTCGAACGGGGAGATGGGCTCCCTGGACACCAGGGTGTCAGTAGCACAGCTGCGACACTCGTATCTGGAGAATGCCAACCGGAAACCTGAGTTGTAGGTCCACTGGCATGGGCTCTGTGTTGCATCGCTAAATAACCGTCTAACTCTGCATTAGTAAGCTGTTGCAAAAACATAATCCAATGATCCAAGAAAATAATTCTGATGGCAATGTTCTGTGGCATGTAATGTGTCAAGGTGTATTGCAATGACATCTACCATTATCATGTTCATTGTCCTGTCTGCAATTTTGTTTTTGGAGTTTAACTTACTTGTGCAAGTTAGCGTCAGCTCTTGCAAGGTAAACCTTTGGAAATTGTCTGCTGCTGCATGTTAACTTTGACAAATGGCTCTTCACAGTTGGGTTGCAGTTAGGTTGTGCTCAGCGTGTGCACCAATATCAATGTGTGAGACCCCGTTATTCTAACTTGAGTGCAGTTTCTGGTAAACTACTAGTCTACTAAAACAAAACGTTGTTAATAGTTTTCTTTGCTTCTACTTTTCCTCTTTGTTGTCTTCGTCAATCTTTGTAAATCTATACACCACTCTCAAAGTGAGACTACTAAAGTAGATCTGTCAGCAGTGGAGGTAGATCAGGCTAGCGGCAGTGATCGGGACAGGGGTGCCCGGAAGCCTCGCCGCTACATCACTCCAGGAGACAGTCGCATGTCGGAGAGGTTTAGGACCCAGCCCATCACGTCTGCAGAGCGGCTGGAGTCAGATAGGTACAGCAGGGGCTCTCTGTAGCGATCTGCAGGAGCTCTTCAGCAGCATTTTATGATTTGTTTATTTAATACACTGAATTGCATGGTGGAAGATGGTTCTAGGTTGGCATTCAGATCATGATAATCACATCCTGGTTCCTAAAATACATTAAAAAATGTCTAATTGCTGATGCTTGACATACGTTAATGTTTTCTGCAGGTCTCGTCTCAGCCCATCACAGCTACAGGATCCCAAAGGTAAATTCAGTCTGCTGCATATATGCACATATAATTCTTAATTTTTAAAGAAAATTTAACATCATTTTCCCAGAAGTTTAAATACAGTTGATGCCACGTAACATAATTCCTCTCTCCTTTTCATTAGATGAAGGAAAACTGGACGATAGAGCCAAGATGAGTGTGGCTGCCAAGAGGTCTCTCTTCAGGGTACACTTCTACGTTATGTACATTTTAATCATAAGGGCAGATGATTAATACTGTTTATTTTTGACTGAGCAATGTTTTGTGATCATAATTTCAAAAGAAAAAGCTGGAGCTTTGATCAGAGTTTCAGCAGACAGTGATATTTGTGTAATTGCCGTTGCCATATTTAGTTAACTGGGTATTCATAGAACTTCAAATTTATATAATTTCTCTCCTAAAATAGCATTGTTTTTCTAAACTAAAGTACTGATGTTTTCCTGACATATTCCTCCAGGAGCTGGAAAAGACATCGGACGGAAGTGTTCCCAAACCGCGCTCTCGGAACGCTGCCGTAGAAAGGCGTCTGAGAAGAGTTCAGGATCGGTCGCACACTCAACCCGTCACCAACAGGGAGGTGGTCAACGCTTCAAGGTATATCTTGGATTTTGCTTGTTTAGCTGCATCTTGCAGCAAACAATTAGCAGAGAATATTATTTTATTCTTTTACCTGTTTTCACCTTTCCGTCTGTCTCTTCAGACACCTCTGTCAACGCCTTTCAAGTCTTTACTTGTTAACTTGCATTATCTATATTTCACAGTTTCTTTGTCATCTATACCTTCTTTTTCTCCACTTTTAAGTGATCCTGCCACATCGTCACAACCTCTGAGCATCCACACTCACGTCCTTCGTGTCCCCAGCCCCACTGCAGTAGGCCCCAGTGTGACCAGCATCAGGTACAGCTGGGCTGCCTACTTACATGTGATTTGTATCTGCGTTGCATGCTTACTTAAATAGCATGTTTCTATGCTCTTTGTACCCTTTTGGGATATATGTGCTTGTATTATATACTTAAAAACCACATGCTGTCTTTGTTGCATTAAAACCATCTTTAAAGATTTTCAAGATCTCAGTTCACTGAAAGCACGACAGTAGATGGACCTCTGTGGGTTTAGAATTGACCATGCATGGGGTGCAATACAATTTTATTGTATATGAATCTGCATTTATACATTTGATGACTTTGCAATTAAGCTATAAACAAAGCTAACCCTCCCTTGACATATTTACTCTATGACTCTACCACAAAGTATAATGTTTACTGCAACCAACTGAAATGTGGTGCCGGAGACATTTTGCTCTCCGTTTCCCTCTCCTGGCTGCAGTGCTGATCTGTTCATCCGGCTCATCTTACGCTGTTATTCCTGCCCCCCTCGTGAGCTGCTTCTCACCTAAGTGCACCTTATAGGGGAAGGAAGTCGGCTTTAACACTATCGCTCATTCAGTACTTTCCACACCCAGTTTCCAAGCGTTCCCTCTCGCAGCGTTTCTCACATGTCAGTGAAGAAAAAAAGATTGCATATCTTAGGGAAAGGTCAGAGGTTGAGTCGGTTAAAGCCCCCTGCATGTCCGGGTTCATGTGTCCTGCACTTTGTTTACCCACCCTGGTTTAACTTAGCACACTGCTGCGAGACCTCCATAACCCCTGCAAACACCCGAGTGCATTATATGATTATCTGGCATATGCGTGCTGATCTACTTATGTCTATGTTGCTGTGCCTCTAATCTGCCTCCGTTGTTACAGCTAGCTGGCTTTTGCATGCATGTTCAGTTATTTGATATTTAGCAGAGGAACACATGTGTTTTTGGTACCTCAAGACTGCAGATGTTTTGTTTGAATAGACACAGGTTACTGTTATTTCATTTAAAAACTGAAATGTTACAAGCTTTTGATAAAACACAATAGTTTCTTGTCCGTGAAGGTTCTCGGACGACCATGTCATAGGATATCTAAAAGCTATAAGTCAAAGGCAACTGGATGTGGTTTATTCCAGACATAAAATTAGCACCTTATATGGCTATTGGAAGATTTACACCCATCCTTTACTCATTGACGCCCCCCTGTCACTACCCAGCATCCCGGCCTCCTCGCAGCCAGACTCAACAGTCCAGGATCAGGAGAAGGATACCCAGGAGTACCAGAAACCAGCTCGCAGCGCTGGGGCAGAGGAAGATGGCCTGGAGCTTTTCTCCGACGAGCCTGACCTATCCTCCCTCACCTTGTCTGAGAAGATGGCCCTCTTCAACCGTCTCGCTCAGCCTACGGGCAAGACCGCCGTGGGGGCCCGAGGGGACACCCGCCAGCGCAGGGCCAACGCCCGATTTCAGACTCAACCCATCACCCAGGGAGAGGTGGAGCAGGTAAAAATATGCAGGCATAATGCAGCTCCTAGCTCAGTAGATTTCAATTCACAACATTACAATAGATTCAGTTTGTCGCTGTTTTCTTGTTCCGAACCCTCACCAACCTTGGTGGCATCCATCCTAACTGCCCCCACAACATGAATAATGAGTGAATGATGAATATGATAATGTTTTAAAGAGACAAAAAAGTCACGAAAACATTTTTGTGCAGGCCAAATGTTAGATGTAGACACCAACGTGAATTTTGCACAATAGCATAAAAACATAGCGTAACCAGGAATTCAAGACATTTGGTAGAACATAATTAGATCAAATTAACAACACTGCATTCGAAGATTATTTGCATGTTAGATCTTCTTACAGTGAACAGGCCTGAAGCAACGGATGAGTCACTTCCAGGTCACTGACAGTGCACCAGTTTCTCTTTGTGAGTGATGGATGAATGACATGATTCTCTGTGCAGCTGGAGGACTCTCAGACACCATGAAATGAACAGGTCACAGAGTTTGTTCGGCTTTTGCTTTTTAATGCAGTGGCCTCTAGATGTCACAAATGACCAACAATTGACATGTGGAACTCAGAAGTACTGTATCCTGTATATTGTTGTTGTGTTGGTGTGTCACCACCTTACACTGATACATCTATCTATATGCAGTGAAACAAAAAAACATGTGCCAGAAAACACAGTGTCAGATGCTTTTGTAGTCCAGCATATTCACAGTCAGTCACTGGTGTCCACGCAGGAAGCTGAGCCGCCGGTAACCTCCGCGGTGTGTAACGGTGACTTAGAGGCCAATCAGGGAGAACATGTAAGACCCCTGCTGCCTGTAAGGAACTTCTGATTGGTTGCATCAAATGATCCCGCTTTCGATTGATCTGATTGGTCCCCCGCTAGTGACCAGTGTTGTCTTGTCTTGCTTACAGTAGCTGAGCTGAGTTTGATGATGTCCGTAAATGTAATTCAGTGTGTATTTGAAGTGGTAGATGTTGCTTTGTCATGAGGAAATGGTTTGAAAGTTCCGGGTGCCTTGTTTGTTTTCCATGGCTCCTCATTCTTGGATGCAAGCAGCTTCTGTCACATGCTTGTTCATTGCGAAACAAGCATGGAATTATACGACTGAAAATTCTGCATGCTAGTTTATTCAGGCTTCCTCCCAACCCGAATAAACTAGCAAGAAAATAAATAAAACGTATCTGAGGAATAAGTCTGTGGATGGATCTGGCTGTCTGCAGAAACATGGGTCAATACAAAGACCTTGTTTTGCAGTCAAAATCAATTGACAGTAGTCTGGTGCATAGTTTGAGTATCTCTACTGGAGCCAGAGGAAGAGATGGGCCATATTTCAACATACAGAGGGATACATCGACAGTAAATGTCAAGTTAGAACAACCAATAAACACACACATTTATGGGAAATATGGCATGTTGAAATATACCGTAATTTCCCTTTAAGGACACCACTGATTATTCCATGCATTATATAAATTAAATGATACGTTTGCCTTTCAAATATGAACATAAATAAAGGTTTCCAGACCAGAGTCATGCATGATTGTTCATGAATGGCATAGCTTAGATGCTTTTGAGTTTCAGATGATAACTGTAAGGGAAAATGTTTTGTCTGTCTTCTGTTGTTTATGATTCAGTTGTGTGAAAGTCTGTGCTTCGGCTCCCTGCTGCCATTTTGTGAATGACAGAGTTGCTGTACAGCTGCAGCTTCATGAGCAAACCCAAAGCACTCAAAATTGTTTCCCTAATTTCCTTTGATTGCTGCTGTCCTTCCCCTCACCCATCCATCTTCCTTCTCATCCATCTTTATTCTTTCATGCATCCATCTGTTCATCACCAAATACCTTCTGTAACATCCACACATACCTCCACCAATCTCTAACTTCCCTGCCACAATTCCATTTAACCCATCCTCTCTCCATATCAATCCCTTCAGCCCTCCTGTTGTCATTCTTTTCCATCCCGAATTTCTGACATGATTCCTGTTGTTCCTGCAGCTGAAAAACGGAGGCGAGATCAAACTGGAGCCCCTGTCTGCCTCCCTGATCCGCTCTGTGGCAGCCGTCACCTCCCAAGCCACCGTCTCCACAGTAACTATCACGCCAGGCAGCGGCGGTGTCGGCAGCGATGACGGCGGTCTCCGTCCAGGGAAGTCCACCGCGATGCCCTACATCCCTGCCCAACAACAGGCTGCCGGCACTGCGAGCAGCCACCAGGAGAGGGCGTTGATGTATTTCTCCATGGCCCAGAGCGGAGACCCGGGCCACCCCGATGCTGAGCTCAACTCCTCCCCTCTCCTCCCTGAGAGCCGACAGAGAGCCGGGGCTCCTCGTGCTCCCACCTCCTCTGAAAGTCACCGGCAGCAGGGGGAGGCGGTGGAGGAGAGCCGGAGGGAGCGTCAGGAGGAGGAGGAGGTTCGGGGGAGACAGCAGGGAGGAGCCAGAGGAGAGATCCAAGAGGGCAGCATTAAGGGAAAGCTGCACTCCCCCGACAGGGACCAGGACGGCAGGCACCAGCGGCAGCATCCCCAGCCTCAGCACTCTGCCGAGCTCTCTTTGAGGAGGGGCGAGTCTGAGCCTCTGCCCAGCCGGAGAGCCGAAGACGGACACTCCCAGGAGAGTAAGGAGAGAGCCGAGAGAGGAGGAAGAGGAAGAGGAGGGCACCTGAGAGAGGCAGCTCACGGTTCCTCCACACAGGAGCAGGAGAAGAGCAGCGGCCGGAGCCAGCCAGGCATCTCAGGTAGGAGGATGCTTCTCACACGACTTACACAGATATGAGATGGAGAAAAGTGAAATAATGATAATAGGGTTGTGAATAGCTGAGGGTAAAAGGAGGGATGTGGGAAGACAGATAAAAACAGAGGGGACATAAAGGGAAGAGAGAAAGGGAGTGACAAAAACAAAGTGGAAGCAATGTCGAGTGAAGGGGCTGTTCTCATTACCCTCATTGTCTCATGCAGCATGCTCCCACGCATGATTGCTTTCTGCCGGCTGCACACACACTTGTCCCAGCTGGAGGGTATTTGATTTGGCTGATACAGACAGAGAGAGAGAGGCGTCTGAAGCTGCATCTAATTAGCATATTTGTCCATGCATTTGCCTCGTGGCTCCCTTTGTCTGGAAAGAGGAAGCCCTTTCCTGACATGCTGACTGTCAGAGGATTTAAATCAATCTGTGTTGTGCTCACTGTCATAAAAAGGGGCTGTGGTCCCCGTGCACCACATCACGCCCGTGGGTTCGCCTTGCGCATACTCCAGTATAATGGGCCTGACCTGTTTTTATGTGCTAATGCAGAATGTGTCCAGGGGTGGTCTTTTTCCCATGCATGCACACAAACACTACAGAGAGAGATGAAAGCACTCAGTGCGAGAGTGCAGAACACTTGGCCGGCACTTCCATGAAACAGGTAGAGGACAGGAAGGACACAAAGGATGCCTTGTCTGCAGGCCGTACTCTTATTTAGCTCAGTATTGGTAGATCTATTAGACTAGAGTATCATGAGGCCAGGACGACTTGCACTGCTTCACAATAACTCCCCGTGGACCTTCCTCGACATGCCTAACACTGACCCTTACCCTGACCTCAGCTCAAAGCACAAGTGTAAAGCCTAAGATGTAGTCGTTGACCTGTGTTTTGTCTCCAAATAGCAGATGAGTCTCCAAAATGTGAACAGCATACTGTACACAGCAGGCCTTGTACGATACTAATCACATTTCTTCCTTACAAAACCAGCTGCATATACCAGAGTCAATTTCAGCTTTGGTTGTATTGAGTTAGAAAAAGTATTGGTTGAAATAATTTACAATATATGCTTGAAAATAAATGGTCTAAACACTTAAAGAAAGAGAAAAAACTATGAATAATGTAGTTAGATGTCTCTGTTAATATGTGAATCATTTTGACGATTGTAACTACATGATTGTATTACTGTATGCTTATTTCAGACCTCCCGGATCATCCTGCACCACTGAGGCCACCGATAGCTAAAGTGTCATCCATGACAGTGTCTCACGTTTCAAGCAGTCAGCAGCAAATCAGCCTCCAGCCTCCTCAAACTCTTCCTAAACCCGTCACACAGCAGCCTCCACCGACACCACCCAAACCTCCGGCCGACACCCAGCCCCCACCAACGTACCCCAAACCTTTCACTCAGTCCTCACAAACCCAGGCCAGAGCTCAGGGATTCATCCAGCCTCTCCCTAAGCCCTACCTGCAGACGGCCCCCCAGCCGCAGCCCAAACCCCAGGTGCCTCCACAGACACCACCCAAACCCCAGTCCTTCCACCAGGCGCTGGTCCATTCCCAGTCCCTGCCCCTGGACCACAGCGAGGACTTCGACAGGCACAGTGTCCACTCTGGAGATCTGCTGTCCCCGACGGAGTCTGGAGACCAACTGTCTGACGAGATGTCCGCCCAACAGATGTCCATCAGGGAGAGGTGAGTGACAGCTAAGGATCTGAAAGTGACTTGATGCCAGTCAGGTTAATGCCACCATTAAGTCTGTGAGCCCATTTATTTACAGCATACTTTTATCTTACTGGGTAATTGACCACATTCGGACAGTGTATGTAATGCTGCTCGAGAGTGTGATAGCATTTTGACCTATCAGGATCATTTGGCAGAAAAACCTGAATAATAATGATGTAACATTCATGGCCATCACAGTATAGGCTCTTTTCACAGTATTTACTGTGGCACAGTCTGTCTTTGCTGCATTTTCCTCCCCCTCAATTCCAGTCACGTGCCCAACAAAAATATGTTAGGCTCTCCATGGAAGGTAACCAGTCCCTCTTCAAACCCCTTCAGCAGTCAACATGAAATATGTGCGAGGACACTTCTTTAGTGTTACTGGTATATCTGTCTGTATTTTTTTTATAATTAATAAGTAACCACAATTAAATACAGACCAAATTAAAGTTTAAGTTTCTGTTTGAGTTTGTGTTTTTTGCTCGTCCATCCATTGCAAACATAGAGCCACAATTTTGCCCAGATGTTCAGCAGTCGTTGAGATATGAGAGACATTATAGGAGAGACAAATCTTTATTTCACTCAATAAGTATCACACATGCCTTGTGGTCAGAATGTGTGTTCAGTGGTAAGGGGAACTGTTCTTTACTTTCTTGTTGCTATCACAAAACCACAAAAAATAGCAGGGTCCACGAAAACAAAGGCCGATCTCAACCTAACGCCTGGCAAAGCCATGAGCCTTGATTCCATTCACAAATCCAGGATCCAGTCGGAGCTCTTAACAAGATGAAAACTCGACACTGAGTCTGATAAATTAGAAGCGTTTGACAGAATCAGGCAGAAGTCTGCTCATCCTCGCAGTTTGTAGGTTTGTTTCACACTTTGACATTTATGTAGGTGAGAGAGATTCATTTTTAGGAACATTTGCATTCCTCCTCCCAGCCAGCTGTGAGCTGCGTGGACTGGTGGAGAAATCCTCTGAGATTCAGCAGGTTCCTCCCAATGTCCTCATTTCTGGCCTGTCCACACTCAAGCAGCTGGGATGATGACACACTTTCTTTTACCCCTCAGCCATCCGTTATCAGCGCTTTCGGAGGCCCGTTTGTAAAGCAGAAATCTCTGACCTGGTTTTTCACTCTTGAATGATTATTTTCAAACCACAGAAACGTTTTTTTGTCCCCTTTATATGATTATTTTTCTAATGACAGGCTGATCACAATAACTGTCAGACCCTAAAATATACTCACAGGGTAATGCCAAGGAAATGTTTTCACCATTAGATTACATGATAGCAATTCAAGAGGTTCGAACACCTTACAATAAGACACTATTTGCAGAAGAACAGTGTTTTCTTTAAGTTTTGGAAATTTGCTTTAAATTGAGTAAAAATATTGAGGTACGATGCTTTTTCTTTGTTCTGGTTTCACCTGTTGTTCAGGTTTGATTCTAGATGTACATGGTCACTACATTGGTTGATGCCATATGATACAATACTTGGCTTGGACAAAACAATTTCCAAGAACTTCCATCAAATAGAAATATCCTAGATGTCTTATCTATTATTTTATACCCCAAATGTACACCCACATACTGTATTTTGTACCTTTTAAACTTTGAAACACTTGGATTGGAGTTTCTAATGAGTGATGTGTTTTTGTTGTTTTATGACAGAGTGGCACTGCTGAAGAAGAGTGGTGAGGAGGACTGGAGGAACCGGATCAACAAGAAACAGGAAGTGGTTAAGGTGGTGTCCACCGAGCAGCAGGCGCAGCTATGGGAGTCAGAGCAGACCTGCGAGACGAAGGTCAGTCTCATCTGCACACCAGTGTTCATAATAATAACTCAAATAGTATTATATCACATAAATTGGATTCTTTTTAAAGAGCTGCTTGTGTTGTTTGCTCTAATGGATGCCACGGTGAAGCTGTGTTTAAGAGAGATCCCTGAAAACTCTGCAATACAGCCGGTTAAAATTGAAAATTAGATCCAGGTTGAAATTAATTTCCCTCTCTTCACCTTCTACTATTGACCTGCTACCTTGTTGCTATCTTGGTGGGAGCTTATACGATAATTAAGTGTCCCTGAATTTAAAAAAAGCACATACATGTCTCAAAAAAAGTTCCACCTCTGGGTAGACTGGTGGAGCAGCTTCACCAAAGTAGCCAGAGTAAACACATTTCACCCCCATCCTTCGTGGTTACCATGCCAGCTCCCGTCCCTGCTCCTTTAGCTAAGTGCTCCTTTCATTTCCTCCATCAGTCCATCTGTTGTTTGAGCCCAGTGGTCCAGATCAGTGCAGCGTCCAGCCCCTAGAGGCTGTAAACCAGGAAGCATATGGGACAGTCTGCTGCTGTAGAATTAGCTGTCCGGGGGTTTGGTCATAGATTCTTCTTTTTTTAACACAATTAGATTTGAGTAAGCTCCCGGCTAAGTATCAACAGTGACAATGAAAGCTTATTTGACAAAAAAGAATGTTTAAGGATCTCTGATACGGATTTATATGCATCTCTATTGGTTAAATAGGAGCTGCAATTAAATTATACACTCAAAGAACCTCTAATTTCTAAGTTTTACACTTTTTTTCCTGCAGTTCATCTACTTCACATTAGTATTCAGTTGGGAGAAACTGCCTGCTTAAACCCTGGATGGTAATCCTCCAGGCTATCTCACCCCTAAACCCATTACAGCAACAATGCCCTCCCCCTCATCCTCCCCCCTTTCTCTCCATCTGACCGAGAACTTCCCCTGTGTTTAACCCCTGTAGGAGGAAGGGGTGGTCGTTCAAGACTACTCCGCTGTGTCTGTGTCTGAGCAGCTCTGGGTAAGACCCGGTGTGGGCCAATCAGCTTCGTGTGGGACTTGTGTTGTCCAATCACAGCTTTGTGTGGACTTTGTGTGATTGCTTCTCCTGAGTCTGTGGGTGTGTAGTGGGCGCTCTTCTTTACTTTCAGTCTGTGATGCTTCTGAAGCGGTGGGACGGTGTTTGGAAAGTCACTGACGCTAAAACTTTTCAAAGCTTTATTTAGATTTTTGCTGATTCCGTCTTAAAGGGGCATTAAGTAATCAATTTAATTAATTTAATTAAAAACTAAAACATTGAATTGATCAGAATCAGCTTTATTGGCCAAGTATGTGCACACGTATTCAAGGGATTTGACAACAGAAATAGATCTAAAAACAAGGACTCCAGAGCTGAACAAAGAACTTACAAACATTTAACTTTTATACAAAGTCATTATTGTTTCCACAGCTGGAAGCTGCACTATAGCGAGTAGTTTAACAGTAGTTTTAACAGTCATGTTACATTCCCAGTTTCTGGCCTTCTCTCCTTTGCATCTGTCCCTTATCTTCCTTCATCTGCACGTTCGTCGTTTTTCTTCCATTTCCTCCTCTGCTGTCCTTTCTTTCACTGTTCCATCCACCTCTACATCCTCAGGAACCTGTCTTCTCTTCCACCTTTTCTCCTACTATCTCCCTTGGCCAAAAGTGTCAGTATATTGACCATCATAGTCAGGTAAGGACACGCAACCGGACAAGCTCGAATGTGCTGCATGTACTTGAGTCTTTTTCTTTTCTGCTTGGTTTGCAGCTACTGGTGTGTTGGGCGCCTTGGGTGCTCTTGAGTTTCATTTGATTCTGACTGCATGAGTACAACTCAGAGTATAGCCGTCACTACTACGGTGGAATAAAGTAGTTTATATGGGCTTGAAAGGACATGCAGCGAGCACGTTTGAGTGCATCCACTCTTTTTTATATCTGCTTGGTTTGATACTGTGACTACATGAATAATTGCTCCTGAAGGAAGAGTGGAGTCACATGAAGTTATAGTGAAGCTGTGTGAGAGGTGATGGAAAATAGATCCAGTAGTGTCTGGAAGCTTTTTGGTTCGCCTCTATGATCTCGTGTTAAGTTTGAATGCAGCTCTTAAACCTGTTAAGGAAAATAACTCCAACATGACTGAAAGCACCCTGGAATTGTAGCCTTATTGTGCAGAGTTTATTGCTTTGCATTCAAGACCTGTCGCTTCAAAATCTTTTCATAACGTGGTCGTTTTTTCTGATGTCCTCTTGTCTGTGCAGAAGATGGGAGAGGAGATCGAGGCCCAGATGTCCATTGAGGAGAGAAAACAGATGATTTCAGTCCGTGAGGATGCCTGGAAGACAAAGGGCAGAGGAGCGGCGAATGACTCCACCCAGTACACCGTGGCTGCTCGTATGGTCAAGAAAGGTCAGTGTGCAGACCTGCTGTTATCCACCCATATTTATGTGCACCATTTGAAAATGCCACTGGGCATGATTTTTATGCACATTATATTTGACAAAAAAGGGGGCCTATAAAATGCACTTTCCCTATCTCTGATTCTTTCGATGAGATTTGTTTCCCAGTGTTAGATTGCGATGCCCAGTATGATTATTTGTGGCTGAATGCCCCCAAAAATAGCCTCACACTTTCTCAGCAGAGGTTTAAGTCACATTGATTGATTTTCATCTCTGTAATTGTTTTCTTGACGCTGCCACCTTTCGCTGCCAACGTGTGAAGTGGCCCAGAACACCGAATCTGAGCGCAGATAATGAGCATGACATTTTAAAACTAAAAAAATGAAGTGATTTTGTCTTTTTTTCACAAATTGGTAATATCTTTGGGAATTTCAGGTTATTACTTTTTCAAAAATATGTGGTAAACTCATAATGTTTTGATAGACTGATTCGCTGCTGTAAATTAAATATATAAATGATTAAATGTAACGTCCTATCTCATGTCCGCAGGCCTGGCAGCCTCCTCCTCCGTTATCAGTCCCATCCTGTCACCGGTCTCCACCAAACTCAAGAGCAGCGTGCCGGCTGTCAACAAACCACAAGAGGGTGAGACAGATCCGTGTCCAGTGTCATCACTGCTACCTCTGCTACCGCTGCTAAATACATTTAAAAAATCAGAGGAGTATATGCACCAGTGTGGTTTAAACCTGAATTGGTTAATTTGCACATTTGTTGTTGCTTTAACCACAAGGGATCGATGCTTTCACTTTCAAACTTTTACAATATGTACTATATGACATGTCTGTACCAATATATACAGTACAGTAGTAACATTTAATTATTTCATTTATAGAAATTGAGGCCAGATCAGACATGGAATCGGACAAGAAACTAGACAAGTTGGAGAGCTTCTTGGGACGTCTGAATAGCAAAGGTATGAACTTCCTCACCGACTTTAAGCTCGTTACGTGATATCGATATCTATTAAGGAATGTTTTGTGTCATCTTCTGGAAAAGAAAACTATTTATTTGGGCATGTTTTTCTGCTATTTTGGCAAATTCCACCCTTGTTGTGTTTATTATTGTGCTCGGGCCTGATGTAGCTTTTCCTTCGTTGATCAGTGGCCAGTCTGCAGGAAACCACCATAACAGTTACCGAGAAGGCGGTGAAGGAAGTGATGAAGCTGGATGACGAAATCTTCTCCAAGTTCTACAGACGTGTTGCTGAATTTCCACGCATGCCCACCAGGATCGAGATCACTGAGGATTTTGACACCATCTTTGGTTCTCAGGGCCCCAAGTAAGTAAACAATGAAGCTTTTAGGGATGGCTGAATATAAGTCGAGCACATCAGACACCACTCATGCGCATGCTTTTCTCCCGTTCCAGGTTGACTTCGGCCATGGTGCAGCACAAGAGGTCGGTGCGCCCGTCCAGGAACGTCCAGTCGTCCAGAAACCCTGTGAAGATGCTGGCAGCCAGAGAGGACATCAGACACGAGTACACGGAGCAGAGGTTGAACGTGGCACAGCTGGAGAGCAAGAGGATGAAGGCTGAGAAGAGTGAGCGTAAGCATGATGGCGTGTGTTTATCTATGGATGTGTTTGTTGTCAAAAACCCTAGTGGAGAATTGGGAACATTATCATTGTTTACAGCCTACAAAACAACTATTGATTGGGTAAACAGTACTAATTGGAATGCAGCCTCAGATGGCCCATTTCTGTAGCAGTGTTTACTGTACTGGTTTAGTTTCTTTAAAGTTGAATGAAGCATTTATGGTATTTTTCTACCCCTGAAGGTTATCATTTCTTTTCTCTCTCATTCCAGTGAGTAAATCCTCTGAGTACTCTGAAGCTGCTCTAGCTGGTCTGGCCAGTAAAGAAAACTTCAGCAGCGTGAGTCTGCGCAGCGTGAACATCTCCGAGCAGATGTCCAACAACAGCGCCGTGCCGTACAAGAACCTCATGCTGATGCAGGTCAAAGGTGAAAACCCTTTCTGACTGTGTTGAGCTGTGTGCATGAAGCTGCTTCCCTTAGACTGTCTTTACTTTCAGAGTTTAGACTGATAATAGATGTTCAGCCTTAATTAAAACCTGGACTTATGCTGACAGCATGCCCACTGATTTCTTATTTTTTTAGGGAAAGATAAGTATGAATGGAAATTTAGAGGAATGGTTTGATATTTTTTTTTTCCAGGTCGTCGTCACGTTCAGACCAGATTGGTGGAGCCGAGAGCGTCATCACTGAACAGCGGCGACTGTTTCCTGCTGGTCACTCCAGAGCACTGCGTCGTCTGGCTGGGAGAGTTCTCAAACGTCATCGAGAAGGCCAAGGTGAGCGCCTGCTCCTGCATTACTAATCATTACAGTCTGTTCCTGAAGAGTTTTCATTTTGCACGTCTAGAATCAAAGCTACTGCTGTAATGTTGATGGCTGCCTCGCATTTCCATTCCCGGCACACACACGAATAGTACTACACACAGTAATACACACTGGCACATATGCTTCCTCATCAAACACATGCTTTCAGGCTACAGCTCTAACAATTCCCCAAAGGGTCTCTGTCTAGACGCTTTGTAATAAACATTTGTTTTTCTACTCCGCCTCCTCGTTCAGTGATGTTTACTCATTTCGTTATGATTTTATGCACAACAACCTTCCCGTGAGTCAGCCAAGTCTCTTTACAGTAACCTCACGTTGTCTTCAGTGTCTGACTCAGTTGTTATGAGTTGCACCTTTTCTCAAAATGTGTGTGTAAAAGTTAAGCAGGATGTTGTCGAGGTCCGTTCCCCGTTCCTAGATACATTTTTTCTTTGTTTCTGGCTTGTAGGCAATAGATATGGCCACCTTCATCCAGATGAAGAAGGACATGGGCTGCAGGGCGACCCAGGTGAAGACCATCGAGGAAGGGGTCAACCCACAGGGTCCAGATACCCAGCAGTTCTGGACGGTCCTCGGAGGACAGGCCGCTTACCAACGTAAGACATGACCTAAATATTCAGATTTGACAAGAAAGTTCAGGTTGTCGCTCTCAAAATGTGTAAAGATACCCTGTATACACTTTGTAAAGCATAACAAACAGTTGCACTGATTATAACATGTCCGTCTGATTGTGCTTATAGCGGCTGGTCCACCAGAGGAGGATGAGCAGTTTGAGAATGCCATTGTGGAAACCAACTGTATCTTCAGACTGCTGGATGACAAACTGGTTCCTGATGATGACGAGTGGGGGAAGGTCCCTCGCAGCTCTCTGCTGGCGTCCAAGGAGGTCAGTGGGACTTTCTGTTGGTCCGCAAAGGCGTCTCGACATGGTTTTTGCTTCTTGATTTTGTATTCAAATGGAGAGAATGTGCTGTCAGTGTTTTTGACCTGGATTAGAAGACTGAAATGTTACACTGCGAGCATTAGTCATGCCTTTTTAAAAGGTGGTGTCTGGAGATTATTTGAATTCAACACTCAAACAAATACGCCCCTACAAATTTACCGTCCCTCTCGCTCGCACTGGCTTTACCTTTAAGGGGATCCTTGAAGTCCTTGAAAGTGTGTGCATTTGAGGGGATGGGGGAATCGAGGCCTTGTATGTTTTTGCAAATAGACATAAATAGAGTGTTGAAAGTGCTTGAATATATATATTTCGTACAAGAATATAGGTTATGTTCCACTGTGTGTCAGCCCACAGTAGCACCTGCCTGGAGAAAGTGCGGCGGTCACGCCTGTGTATGAGGGATGGAAGTAGAACGACGCAGGTTAAACAGCGGCATTATAAAGATTCTCAGGAATCAACAGTCCTCAAACTATGACGTGTTAGGTCCTTGAATTTGAGGGAATCGGGCCTGGAACGTCCTTAAATTGAATGTGTTTAAGAAGGTTTGTTGGAAGTTAAGAAGGGAACCCAGGCTACCGGACCGTGAGGCGTAGTGGAGGAGAATCCCTGATTCCACCTCTTTAGCCGACACTGTTCGGCTTTACTTTCAGTTGCCCTTTGACTCACTGAAGCCTCATGACACCAGAATAATGCAGCATCTCCACAGTATGTAACTTAAGATTTTCTGATATATATATATCATGTCAGTATTCTGAAGAGGAGCTCTGTGCTTCTGGCTGGTTTTAAATGTGTTGCTTAGCAACAGCAGGTGCCATGGCGAGCACCTCCTACATCCATCTGTGCACTGCTGCCGCTGAACAAATAGAAACGGGATCAGGACAGTGGGGCTAACACCAAGCAGTGCACTGCAGTTACATTGATCATTTCTCATATAAATGAAGGAGCATCTGGAATGTGAATTATTTATATTGTAGTCTTAATATGGTATAACATATGTCATATATATATATATATATATATATATATATAAGAGCACTGTCCACATGGTGCTTGTAGAGGCATTTACTCAAAATATAACCTCTGTGTAGCTCTTGGTTAACATGGACAAACAACTCCCCGATGCTTTCCCATTGTTTTCGTTGCAGGTGTTGGTGTTTGACTTTGGCAGTGAGGTGTATGTGTGGCACGGTAAAGAGGTGACTCTGGCTCAGAGGAAGGTGGCCTTCCAGCTCGCCAAACACCTTTGGAACGGGACGTTTGACTACACCTGCTGTGACGTCAACCCACTGGACCCTGGAGGCTGCAACGCACTCATACCCAGGTGGGAAACACACACACACACACACACACACACACACACACACACACACACACACACACTTGCAATAACATTTTATTGACTTGCATTCATTTTCTGAAGGCTTACTCTAACCTTTTTTTTAACCCACATTTTGTACTTACTTAACCCCAAAACCAAGTCTTAACTCATAAGTAACTGGTGGACCAACTTTTGTCCCCAGATGGGAGGTGAGTCCCCATAATGTGAGTGTGTGAATGCATTTATGTCCCCACAACATCACTAATACATACACATACAAACACATCTGCATTTCTGTTCTTGTCATTACTATAAATTATTTGCCCTGAAATAGTCTTTTGATGATAATAATAATAATAAATAGAGTGATGACATTATTGCTACAATCTGCATCTTTATATTTTAAAAACTATTGTTAAAAAGTGATTGTAAACTGTCTCTAAAAAACAATAGAGGACATAAAAAATACTCTGATAACTTTTAATAACCACACGTACAAATTTACACACAAGAATTTAACAACCATGGTCTTACTTTATGTAAAGCTCTTTGATTTAACATAACATAAAGTTTGATCTTGGCATCTTTTCTCTTTTTCTTTGTGTCTGTGTGTGCGTCCGATGACAGGAAGGGCCAGGGCCGTCCTGATTGGGCGATATTTGGCAGGCTGACAGAGCACAACGAGACGATCCTGTTCAAAGAAAAGTTCGTGGACTGGTCCGAAGCGAAGTCGCCAACACCAAAGGAAGGCGGCGAGCTCGTACCTGAGCAGAAGGTGCAAATCCAACGCTTGTCTCATGAGGATAACTGCAATTCTTACACAGATCAGAGAGTCTTCACATGTTTTCTCTATCCCCCCCATCTGTTCATATATTGGATTATTGGGCTGATGCTTGATCTCAGTTAATGTTGCCAGGAACAGTTGGTTACACACTGGGACCGAAACAAGAATAAGAGCATGTGCCTTTGAGTGGATGCTGTACGAAGCACCATAGAGAAGAATGAGCCCATGTGTTACCATTGACAGCTAAAATAGTAATAAGAGAAGCTTATGCTACATGTCAGATCAGAAAGGACGTTATTATCGCGTCTTAAAATGTGCTTTTAAATAAATCTTATCTGTGATCTTTGCATCTCAGCTCTCTCAGGAGGCCCCGGGTAGAGAATGCCGGCCTTATGACGCCACCTTGATGCTGCCCGTCCTCCAGTCGTCCATTTCCACCATCTTGGACGGGTTAAATGTCGGCCGCGGACACGGCCCGGTGGAGACCGAGGACCACATGAGGACTCAGGAGATCAGCACGGCGTCAGTGGACGTCTGGCACATCCTGGAGTTCGACTACAGCCGTCTGCCACGCCAGAGCATCGGCCAGTTCCATGAGGGAGACGCCTACGTGGTCAAGTGGAAGTACATGATCAACACCTCAGGTTAGCCACTGTGGACTCCCAATTTACATCCTCTATAAAACATTGTGCTTAATATGTTAGAATAATTTAATGAGCACCAAGTTTTTGTGTTGTAATTAAGGTTAAGATTTCCATTTGCACAGGGAGATAAACTTGCTGCAATAACAACATTATTATTGACGATTCAGAGTATTTTGTTGATGTTTTCGTCCTGTGTGTGTGTGTCAGTCGGTCGTAGGCTGAACCCCGAGGCGAGGAGTAGCGGGCCGGGGAAGGAGAAATGCTGCTACTTCTTCTGGCAGGGTCAGCACTCCACCGTCAGCGAGAAAGGGACGTCGGCGCTGATGACCGTGGAGCTGGACGAGGAAAGAGGGGCGCAGGTACAGGAAACGAGGCTTCTAAACCAGCCAAATAATCAAAACGAAACATACATCTAACAGAAAGTGAGAGGTGGACAATTCAATAATTGAGAACTGTTACTACCCCAGACTGACCAAAATAAGCCTTGGACTGTTTTTATGTCAATGCTGATTTTGTAGCATCATAAGTTAATGAATGATATCCAGATGTTCCCTGATGTTTATTTCTTGCCGTAGGTTCTCCTACTTATCTAGGAGCATGTAGCCATTAAAGTAGTGTTTTGTTTGCATTAGTTTTACAACTGGTTTCCTGCGTCTGTCTGTTACAGGTTCAGGTGCAGCAAGGAAAGGAGCCTCCGTGTTTCCTGCAGTGCTTCAACGGAGGAATGATCGTCCACGCTGGCAAGAGGGAGGAGGAGGAGGAGAACACTCAGAGTAAACATGTTTACATGTCTGCTCTTTATTCCAGTTATTTATCTAATTCCTGACATTTTTTTCTACACAATAATTGTTCAATGGATGTTTGATTGTATGCCAACAGTTCCTTATTTTTACTGCACATTCATTAAATTCACGCAGCAGTTAAAACTAAAAGTCATGATTATTAATCATCTACTGCTGAAGCTTCCCATATTATAACCTTTGTGCCAAAAAAAGTAAAGTGGCAATTTTTGGAATACAACAATATGCAGTCTGTTTAGCAATAATTCATGTCTTGAGTTTTTGTTTATTTTGCAATTTGTCGACAGTTAAAAGGCTGGAGATTTGAATGTAATTTATGTAATACTGAGTGATAACTTAACCCGCTCCTCTGCACCCAGGTGAGTGGCGTCTGTACTGTGTGCGGGGCGAGGTGCCTGTGGAGGGCCACCTGCTGGAGGTGGCGTGTCACTGCAGCAGCCTGCGCTCCAGAGCATCCATGATCCTGCTCAACATCAACAAGGCCATCATATACCTGTGGCACGGCTGCAAGACGCAGCTACACACTCGCAGGGTGGGAAACACGGCCACGCTCAAGATCAAAGAACAGTGAGTTTCTATAATTACATTTCAGGATGACCTTTAAGATACTATTCAATAAAGTTACACTGATTCAAATTATTATTACTGGTGGGTGTTGTGGGTTGTTTGGTTGCCATGAAACATGAACTCTGTCTTCCTCTCAGGTGTCCTCTGGAGGCGGGTCTCCACAGCAGCAGCAAGGTGACCATCCATGAGTGTGATGAGGGGGTGGAGCCTCCGGGCTTCTGGGAGGCTCTGGGGAGAAAAGACAGGAAGGCCTACGACTGCATGCTGCAAGGTACAGTCTGTACTTACATACCTTGGTTACTTAATGATATTCACATGTACATTTACTCTAACCTCAGACACAATTAGTACAATTATTTTTGATAGAAATCAGATCAAAACAGTTTCTATAAAATGAGAAGTTTTCTAAAGGAACTCCGGTGCTTGGAAACACTACCACTTTTGTCCACAGGGACCGCCACAATCAACACAAAAATGAAAGTTCCTCCTATAGTAACTTTAACTATTAACCTTGCTCTAAAATCAATATTGTATTAAGTGTATTATATTGTATACTTGAATAAGATGATATGTGATCAACAACTAAACAAGATCAAGTCGAGAAAATATAAAGTCTTGAGGATCAATACACCTCGGTGCTACATTATCATGTGAAACTTGAAGGATGTTGGTTTCTGATTTTCTTTTTCAGATCCGGGTAAATTCAACTTCACCCCACGGCTTTTCCAGCTGAGCAGCACATCTGGAGACTTTGTGGCGAGTGAGTTCTTCCACCCGTCCAGCGCTCCAGACCTGGTCAGCTCGCTGCCCTTCCTGCAGGAAGACCTGTACAACGCATCGCAACAACCCGGTGAGGCCCGGTCACAAACGCATTGCAGTGAATACACCTTGACAAAGTGGCGACTGCTATTTTGCCCTAAATTAGTCTGAACGTTACACGTGATGTTATATATATGTTATATATATATATATATATATATATATACATATGTTATATGTTATGTATATATACATATAGTGATATAATCATTTCCCTCTCTGTCAGCGCTGTTCCTGGTGGATAACTTCCACGAGGTCTACCTGTGGCAGGGCTGGTGGCCTCAGGACAGCGAGAGCACCGGCTCGGCTTGCATCCGCTGGGATTCAGACAGAAAGTGTGCGATGGAGACGGTGCTGCAGTACTGCAAGGGTGAGAACGGGCGATGGTCCATGAAATGCTTCATTGAATCACAGCTGATAGCTGCACTGGTGTATTATCCATATATTATAAATAATATAAATCTTGGCCCCTGATCAACACCCATGAATGCAATAAACAATCTTTCCATGATGCCACTTTGTTTTCAAGTGTTTAAAGTTAAAATAGTACTTATTTTGACTCAATTTTGACCAAGAAAATAAGGAAATAGTAAAAATGTACAGATTTTCTGGCCAGTGTTTTTGCGAAAGGGTCGTTTTTTTTATTTACTGTCTCTTTAACTTTGATAAAGTCTTCACAATTTAACCAGAACTACTCTCCTCCTCTCTACCTGGATACATTAAAAATGTATTATTGAATTGGAAGAGAAAATGAAAACATCCTGCAACACAAACTTTAACCAAACCAGCTGAGTATTTAGATTAGATTTAAATTAGGATTTGAAATAGAATTATTGAGACGATTTTCTCCTGCAGAGAAGAACGAGAAGAAGCCTCAGAAGTCGTATCTGATCCACGCCGGTCTGGAGCCGCTCACCTTCACCAACATGTTTCCCAGCTGGGATTACAGAGAGGACGTGGCCGAGATCACCGAGAGGGTCCGCAACACACACACACACACACACACACACACACACACACACACACACACACACACATCCAACATCAACTCTCCGCACATTGGTGGAAGCTGTCAAAATACACTCTTATTTATATGATATAATCATGATATCCATAAGCAATCAGGAGGAGACATTATACTGTGCATATAGAACCACAGCCTCTTTTTCACACACTATTCCAAAAACTAATTGTCCAAACACCTGCTGTCATTATGAGAGACTTCATGCCGTGTCCTCTGTTGTGGCTGCAGGAGGCGGAGGTGTGTCACCAGATCATCCTGGTGGAGGACGTGTTGGCCCGGCTCTGTCAGAACGCCTTCCCTCTGGCTCAGCTGCAGGCCCGGCCGCTCCCAGAGGGAGTCGACCCGCTCCGCCTGGAGATCTACCTGTCCGACCAGGACTTTGAGGTCAGCAAACCGACGCACAAAACTGCTGCACCAAACCACATGTTTTATATCCAAGTGTTTGTAATGTTGGAAGCAGTGTTATAAAATAAACATCCTTGTTTTAGATAGCATGTTTCCCTCCCTTGATCAGAGTTTTTAGGACATGTTGGTCATTAAAAGAGGCAATTCTAACAGAAATATGAAATCATACATACATAAAACTGAGTTTCTCATCACAGGAGAAGATCTGATTAATATTTTGAGTAACTTTCAAACGAACTTGTTGAAATATCTACTGAGTTAAAATCAAATGTGACGTGTTTTGCAGTTAAGACTTTAGCTGTGGTTTACACTGAGGGGCAAATTTATAAAGGACGAATGGCGGCCTCATATAGCTCGATCACTTGTGCATCACTTGCAAAAAGATGAAATGAAATTACAGCACAAACACGTCCATAACGTTTTGCAGCTGATTGCAAATATTCATGTGGCCAAATAGCACAGAGTGCCACTTCCATCCAAACCTCAATCCAAACCTCCTGTAGTGCAATTAAGAGAGAGGAAAGGGCAAAATGTAACGCCAAAGTGTAGAAGTTCTGCTTCGTGTCAATATTGCTCATAGCTTATGTATGAAACAGACGATTCAGAGGTGGATTTTCCCTCTAAATCTACAACTCCTCATTCATATCATCCTAACTCCATCTAACTCTCACTTCACAGACCAAGTCGTAGGTGGATTCAGGTAAGAAGAGCCAATCATTTGATTCATCAGCATTCAGGCGACCTGTCATCCTTGATAGCACGTCAGCACTGTGTTGTTCTTTCTTTCTTTCTCTCTTAATGTGGTATGAAAACTCTGTTTCACTCCCCGAGTGTGGTGCTGGTTGAGGAGGAAAGTTTTGCGCTTGGCTGCTCAATTACATCTGAAAAAGATCATCCAGCGTACTCTGTTAGATATTATGAGTCCTTCATATCAGCTGCTTCACACAGAAGATAACAAACATAGAACGACACATGAACTAAGAGTCCATCACTGCTCAGAATAATAGAGATGAAATATTAAGAATGATAAAAATAGAATATCTCATAGTGTGTCTACATTGCAAGTATGTATTTATATAATTGGTTCATGTATATATCAAGTAGGATAACTAATTATTAATTAGTAAGTGCATTTTTCACAGTCTCATAATCTTTAAACATTTGACAGAAAATGTATCTATTTTTGTAATTGATACATAACACCAACTATTGTATTAGTTAATGTGAGGAGTTGCTGCTTTTCCTGTTTTGTATCATTTTAATGACATATTTTTGGGGGTTTTAACTGTTGATGAAGTCACTTTGAGCTGCGGGAAATGATTGATTTTTATAGATAAGATGAGACACAAGATTAGTTGATCGATAGTTGTAGCCATATGAAGTTAAACATTTGTCTTTATCTCATCATTTTCAATTACTAGGAGAAGTTTTATTTTTAAAATGTCTTTATTTTGATCTCTTTGTTTTCTATCAGAAATGGGCTTCAACATAACCCTCGATGGAAAACTTGGATTCAGCAGTTTTTATCACATTTCCTTAATATGAACAACTGAGGTTGTAAATGAGGCGTTTAAAGACATGAATACTATTGAGATAATTGAGACATTTAATTGTGCAGCCATCGTTCATTTCTTCTCCTCTTTAGAAGGTGTCTGTTCTTGACTACACGACACTACTGTGCTCTTCTCTGCTGCTGCTGCTGCTGCTGCTGCTCTTCTCTTCTCTCTCTCTCTCTCTCTCTCTCTCTCACACACACACACACCGCACCTTCCACCTGAGACCCTTTCCTCTGCACTTGTGATTCACCATCAGCTGCACTGCAGTCTGACTCACTGTCTGTCTGTGGAGCACAAAATGGAGGCATGAAAAACCATGAAACCACTAAACTGTCATAAGAACCGACCGAGCGCTACATCCATTATTAACATGACGTCGGTGTGTTGTCTTCTAGCCCGGCATTGACCAAACAGCAAGTGTATTATTAACAAATGTAAAGATGTACCAGATAAGTCCAAAAATGTACAAGATGTTGCTTTTTATCTCACAGAAACGCTGATGATGCACTTTGATATGAATGATCTGAAACTTAATTTTAGATTTGACGTCTAACTGTGAGAGAAACAAGAAATCTTTTTTACTTACTTTATTTACAGGGTTTGTTTTGAAAGTTTAGAAAATGCTTTATTGGATTTCAAGGTTAGGAATATGCTCGAATTCAATGAACAGCTTGAATTTCAACATGTCGGTGTTTCATCGGCACAAGTGCTCACGTAAAAGAAAAATCTTTTCATTTTTGAAATGGACCGATCCGGTCGTCATATTTTTTTGGCATCTCCTGGCGTCTCAAACCAGATGCGGAGCTAGCTGAGCATTAAATAATCCTAATCAGAACATACAGTCAATGTCAATATCAACAAAGTGTCAATATACATTGATTGCTGTAGTTATAAAGGGATCACATTTGCATTTATAGTAACAGTTTAGACTTGGTGATAAAGGCCTCGACAGTCTGGACATTGTTGGTTTAGGTACCTTTAAAGTGGATTTTACTCTTAAAAAGCTGCACCAACCCTGTATTGATCCAAGTCTTTGATCCAATCAAACGGTACCAGACTTTCTGGTGTTGACAATCTTTGTTAAATTTATTGACATCTAGAAACACTCAGACATGTTTAAAAGGCTGTTTAGCATAAAAATCCACACTTTCAAAGTTGTAAAAAATGTTTTTTAGATTCCTTGAGGTGAAAAAATTCTACAGATCATAAAATTGCGTTTGTTGTGTCATTTTTTTTTTTTTTGTTGAATATGTTTGACGGCTCCAAAGCTTTTATCAGTAACAGGAAAAACACCAATACCTCCTTTAGAAACGGTACTTAAAGTTGAATCCCCTGAGTCGGGATTTTTTCTGATTAATGAACCGCATGTGTCTCTCTTTCCAATCGCAGAAAGCTTTGGAAATGACGAGAGAGGAATACGAAGGTTTACCAGGGTGGAAGCAAGTGAACTTAAAGAAGGCCAAAGGACTGTTTTAAGGAGGTTTTTTCAATCGAGGATGGAAGCGGATTAAAAAACACAGAAAAGGACAGTTGAGACGGAGACACAGGAATCCTGTTTTGTTGGCGACGCGCGAGGACATTGGGACAGAAAGTATCTGAATCTGAAGAAAACGGTCATGAAGGATGAGGCTGGAGATGCACTCGCCTTGCTTATAGTCGTGTTTTACCTTTCAACATTACATAACATAAATGAAATTCACACGGTGTACCAGAAGGTAAACACACCCTGTTTCGGTTCATACCTGGTGTCTCTGTGTATTTGGAGTTTCCTCCAAACACTAAAGTCACCACTCGTGGACTCACCAATGAAAATGTGCACACTAGGACGCTTGGTGTCAGAGTGCCATGCTCTGGACATGTGTGTGTGTGTGTGTGTATGTGTGCGCGCGATTGTATATAATGTTTGTGTGTATTGTCGATTTTTGTGTAAATGTGTGTGTATCTATGTAAAAACCTGTCGCGTCAGAAGTTGTGAGGAAAGTTTTAAACAATGTTTTTGTTGTCTACAGTGTCTGGATGCTGTCAGGCCTCGTAGCGAACTCGTGTTGCTCGATGGTGTTAAACTGCTGAAGTGACTCTCGGCTTGAAGGAGTTTGTAATTTTACAGGTTTGACTTGTTTGGAGAAAGAAGAAGCAGCAGCTCTGAATGTATAGTGCCTTGCTTTTTGTGTACAGTTTATATACAGAAATTCTAGTCTGGATTTTTAAAGACTTTCTTTGTGATATAAGACATAGTGAATTAAATCACAATGATGCTCAACTCAAACCACGTGTCACTCTGTGTCTCCTGCTTCATACGCAGTTTATTTTAATACAAGTCAAATTATTATCTGGGCTAGGAGATAGTTAATCAACTCTACTCATGTTGCCTTTATTTAAAAACAAGTTGTTCCATACAGGACTTGTTTGGTACATGTTTGATACCGACCACAACACCATCACAAATCGTGTCAGTGTGTCTCTTTCTCTCTGCAGAGGGTCTAAAGGCTAATTTACTATCTACATAACTGTACACATACTGACACGTAAGCTGACTGTTGGCATGTCTGACAGCAGAATGTAGAAAACATAAGAGACAATGTTGGACTATTCCTTGAACTACGACTACGAGAGAATGTGATGCTTATGCAGTATGTTTGAGTTTTCGGCTCGGTGTGTAGGGTTAGTTATTTCCGGCTTACACAATTGTAAGGATTATATTCCTACACGTGACATGAACGCCTTCAAACACTTAAAAGTTACATAAGGTTGGTGCTATTCTAAATATTTCTTATTGTCAGCAAATCCCACACAAAAAGACCAGCGTGTTGGTCCATCTCTCACTAATCTCTGACTCTCATACACCGTCTTTGGCACTCGGCTTCAAGCCCAGTGGTTCAAACTGGGGACAATATTCATTAAAAAGAAATACCTCTCAAATATATTGTTTCATTTTTTTAAATTCAAGGCTCAGCAACAGCTTGGCGCTGTCGTCGTCAGCAAATGCAACTCAAACAGGGGTACACGGTGTTCTCATTAGAGCGCACATTTGGTGCTTTGGTGAGTATTTCCAGCAGAAGGATGCATGTATGTGGGATTGACTCAAAAGAAACTGTTCATGTTAAATTAGGAACTTTCACTGCATCACTGGGGCACATTGATGTTTTTTTTAAATAGCTTTTAGACAATAGATCTCCTCACAGAGGAATAAGATGTATTTTTAGCCCATGGATACACGTATAACTCTCAGGAGCCTGTCGTTAGTCACTTTAGCCACAAGATGGCGATGTGAACCCAAACACAACATCCCATAAATCTCCAAAAGTTAAAGTTTCATCATTGAATTTATTCATGTTCTTTGTTCCTACTGCAGCCAACTATTTGCTAAATTCTCTTTATACTTTCTAAATCTTTGGACTCAAGAGGCCCACACAAGGCCTAACTGTTGCCGGTGGAATTTGACCTACATGACCTGGAATTATGTAATATGTAGCTTCACCACACATGCATACAGACTGAGCGTCAAGCAACAGCTCTTCTGGCCACACATCGTCAACAGACACAGCGCGGTCAGTTCTGATGAAAATATCTTTCTCCATTCATTGCGGCCAGTTTTTCCACCCAGTCAGGTGAGAACATGAGGAAAAGTGATGTCAATGCAAGTGGTTGTAAAAAGTAGCAAATAAATATTGTTTAGGATGATTGTAATTCTATAATAATAATTAACTGTAAATACTGTTTTTCCCACATCAAAGTAAGCTATGTATCGTCTCCCCTTTTATTTTGTCGCAATGTATAGCAGTGAATGGCCGCTGTACTACTACACAATGGCACTTATTGTTTATCAAATAGAATGTCAGAGTACAGAGTGCTCCGTGGTAAACGTGCAGTGTGGTCACAAGTTGATCTGATGGCCCTTTGCTCTTAGGAGCGACTGCTGACAGTGTTGTACGTTGTTTAAGTGTAGCACAAGACTACACTGATGGTGGCGTAGTGCTTCTGACTACCGACTTTTTTCCACACAATGATATGAGTTCAAATCCCGTGAATATGATTTATTTATATTTGTATATATTTGTCTTCTTCTTTTAACTGTGCTACAGAGTTTTTCTACGTGACACATGTTTGCACAAAACAGGCTCCAAAGACGTTTATGCTCCAAAGACGTTTATGTCTAAAGTTAATAACGACTAATATACAATTACGAGCTTAATATCTAAAATCAACAATCAATCTGTGGTGAGAGTGTGTATGTACATGCATGAAGGTGTGTGTGGCGGAGAAGCGAGAAACTACTCAGACAATGTCGGATGTAATCTGAAACGTGGCCACGCCACCTGGAACTACAAACAATATGGCGGAGGTAGATAGGACTATCAAAATGGAGGGGTAGTCTCGTACGTGACCGCGGCAGACTCCAAAATGGTGCGAGACAATAGAGACCGCGTTTACACACACAGTATGAAATACACAATCATTTCTGCACAGCACTAACGGAACTCGGTGGTCCGTGAACAACAAAAAGCAAAGTTGTTTCTGTGCCTCCATTCACCAACGCGAGTTGGATAGGACGGCGGCGCGTTGGAGGCGACGCTGGTTTTTATAGATGCTGTGATGTCAGGCTGTAGAACAGGAAGTCCACTGCTGTAAGGATTACAGGTACGGGAACTCAAGAGCACGACTCAAAGACAGACTTCAGGTATAGATTTCTTTACTTTACTTGGTCAACATCGGGAGGTGAGTCCAGGTGAGAGCAGACATCAGTAATGTAAATTCACGAAGATTCAGAACATCACATCATTGACTCTAAGTACACAAGAACATTTACTGTTTTACCAACACATAGGCTAAGTTATTGGTTTGGTTACACACAATTCTCAAGTTCATCATCACTAGCTAGGCTATCTGGATATGGAGGAATCCATTCATGAATTGGATACCGCATAGGTGTGGAAGTGGATTGAACAGATACATACATTGTAACAAAAAACCAGGTCCAAAGCCATCCTATTTTGTAACACCATGTGTCTGATGTCATTCACTTCAGTTTGCATGGATTACACTCAAAATCCTCGAACCTAGTGAAATGGCACGGTTGTACCGTACGTGGAACGGAGCGAGTTCCTTAGAGTCAACTTGTCTGATTAATTGGAACACAGCTGTATGCGATGTTGCCACAAACTAAATAAACCTGTTCCGGTAATGCAAGGTCCCTAGATTCACTAGAAACACCAATAATGCCATTACTACAGTCACTCATCCCTATGAAAAAAAAACCCTAACGCGTGGAAATGAATACAGCGGCTGACGTTGGTCAAAGGATAAACAGGAATGGGAGGTTTTGGTTTGGCACAATCTCTATTCTGAGGTCTGGTCGGAATTAAAGGTTTAGTACAATTATGCCTAGTCCAAAACAAATGCGTGACTTTAAAATTATTTGCCCAAGGTATCCTTTGTATTCCTATTTCAAATCGAATAGATGCTGTATTTGGAGCGATATCGAAGTTGTATTCATGTGTTTCTCTAATACTGTTGAGAGTGTCACTATTTCCTCTTGACTTCTATAGGTGCCATACGCTGGTATTATTTTCCGATATGCAATTAGTTTCAGCCACAGTCATTTGATATTTTAATCCTTGTTGGATGTATCTTTTGTAATAAAATATGGTGGGGGTCAGGTGACCCCCAAAGGGGGGATATGTTGAAGAAAATCATCATATAATTTAGGATTGAACTGAACACATTAGGTTTCATATAAACATTCTTAGGAAGAGATTAAGGCACGCCAGACAAATAGTAATTTCATCACTCCAATGTGTGTCCAAACATTTCAAGTACACAAATCGTGTGTTCTGCCAAAAGGTCATCTCGACCCAAACGAGGACATGAGAGCATGACATAGTGAAGAGACCAGAGGTGCTCTGTTTTTGGTTAAACCCACTGGTTTGATTGGGTAAGTGACCTATTGGGAAAGTGACTTAAAGGGAGTGATTTTTGACTATAAAAGTAATCTGTGAAAAGTAATACATTGGATTTGTTTGGATTTGCTGAACTTGTTGTATGTTGGCTTGTGCTTATTAAAACACTTGCCACTGGGTTGCAACTTCAGTTCGCCGTCTCTTCGCCACAACACGTGTGGAAAGCAGGTCTCATTCTTTTCTCCGGACAATCTGCCTGCCAGTGTCCTCGTCTTCCGCAATTGTGACACACATTCGGATCGTAATTTCTGTGAGTCCATCCTGGTCTGCCTCTGTTCCTGTTTGCCTGGGACAAATGTTTGAGTGGGTTCTGCCAGAGCGTTATACATTGACAACTGAGCCTCTTCCAATTTCTTTTGTTCATCTTTTCTGTGAACCTCGTCCTCGGCATGTTCACTGTGCTGAAGCATATCTGTAAGTGGACACGTTTTCCAGGTTACACAGGATCTTTTCACCATCTGCATCGTGTGACGACCCCTCCCTTCCACCAGGGGTCTGTGTCCTGTTTTCTCCTCAGTTGTCATCCAGGATGTTAATCGGCCACTGATGGGCGACACCTGAGCTTTGGGTTGGTCCCAGCTATAAAGGCTGCCCCTCTTCTTTGGCTGTGGTCCCTCTCCAGCTCCTGTTTGGAGGACCTGGATGCTGCTTTGTTTTGATTGTTTATTTATTTAGTTAGTGGTACTTTCAATAAATGTCTATTAGTTTTATACTCGTCTTGTCTCGCTCATGTTACGACTTTTTGAGCCGGGTCATGACAATGTAATCTCGTGAAAAATAACACATTAATAACTAATGGCATGTCAGTGACGCATACAGCTCGAGAATAAATACCACAGGAATAACCACGACAACCTTCGACGTCCGGTTCCCAGACAACCCTCTTAACCCAGTGAGCCACGGTTGCCCAAATAGTTGACAGTTGAAGACACATAAGGTCGCCTGACCTTGTGAAGAGGATGATGCGAAATGCCAGACCCAACAATGCAGAAGAGCTGAAGGCCACTATCAGAGCAACCTGGGCTCTCATAACACCTGAGCAGTGCCACAGACTGATCGACTCCATGCCAACTTTTTGATGATATTCTAATTATATGACCAACACCTGTATAACGCTGGAGCGCTTAGCTGAGACACACAAGACAATCTGGCAGGGAACAAGTGTAAGTGAGGAGACCTAAATAGTGATGGACTAATGAGGGAATGGGCTGCAGGTGAGGAGGGCGTGGAGGACCAGGTGAGGGGAATGAGAGGTGATCGGGTGTGAATGGCAGGATCTGAAATGACAGGGGAGTTAATTAAAAAGGCA